AACCCTCTTAACCTTTTTCTAGTGTAGTCTTATGTTTTCAGAGAAGACTTGACAATTCTGATATATGGACAAAGTTTTTTCCCATTCTTTCAATGAAATTAGGTTTTATGTACTTTATGCAAAAAATATATAAGGCATCTAATGCAGGTTTCTAGAATTGCACTTTTTTGTATCTGAACTAATTTGAAACCATGTTATGATGGCTAATGAAATAGAAGAATTTCGGGCCCTTGGGGCTCATCTTGTCTGGCAATGTCTACATTGTATGCTATAGCCGCCCTCCCTCTCCCCCATGCTATGGATGGGTTCCAACATTTTCTTGAAGAGCTTCTTTTTTTATTTGGCCATATGTTGGAAGAGCCCTGGTGAGAGAAAGGTTGAAACACTTGACTACTAGCTGAAAGATAAGTGGTTCAGAGCCACTAGTCACTCGGCAGAGCCCCCAATCACTCAGGGCAGAGAGATCTATCTGCTTTTGTGAAGATTTCTAGTCTTGGAAACCCTGTGAGGCAATTCTTCTCTGTCCTGTAAGCCACTGTCAATAAGAATTGACACCGTTGCAGGATTATATAGTGAGGATTTTCACATGTCATTTGATTTTAAAAAGTTCATGGGGAAAAAAACCAAGATGCCTGATTTAACCTGATCCTAAAATTTAATAGATAATAAAATCTGAACTTTGTTATCGCTTCCTTCAGGAACATTTCTTTGTTGCCTATTTTATCATCCCATTTTGACTTTTAAAATTGACACCACATTATATAAAATCTCTAAACTACATGTGTGTAACCCACATGTGTTCTTTATTGAAAGTTAGCATTGTTAATTAAGTACTAGTCAAACACAGGCAAACTGAAGAGTTTCTCCTATTTGTTTTTCTGATTACTCTTTCACTTAAGTAGATATCTTTTAGATACGAGACATGTATAGAAAACTATAAAATGTGTAGAAAAGTTTTAGAAGGAAATCCTAAATTTCAAATTAATGAAGCACTCTTTATTTTGTGTCCTCTTAATTCACTAACAAAAGAAAAACATTTTCTGTGAAAACAAGCTGTTGGCAGTTTCTTTAGACATTTTCTGGTTGACGGGAAGTATCAGGATTTGTTATCAAAGAATTATTTTTGGTTTGTTCTTATACTGAAGGTGATGTGGATTTTCAGAATACCTGATTAAATCATCTGTGGTGATCCAGTACCAAAGAGTGGTTGAGTTTTTGCATTTGTCCACCTTACCCTTCTGCCACTATTGCTCTTATCGAAAATGAGGTCTAGCTGGTGTGTCCTAGTCTCACTTAGAGTTGTGGGTTTGTTTTACTTGTAACAGTAAATTAAGTGGTTTGATTAAATTTTGATGAAGATTACGAATAATCTTTAGAAGGGTAAATTAATACATAAATTTTATTTATAAACTCCATGTTGTTGTTGTGTATCACAGAGTCAGAAATGACCTGTAGCTGACCCTCTGGTGGGTTTTCAGAGGCAGTTCAGGAGGAGACTGCCCATCCTTCTCCCGTGTAACTCCAGAGAACCTCAAAATTCTTTTTGGAGTAAACATTTTGTACAGATGTTGCCAACAGGATTCTATAGGATTCTAGTCACACGGCCTTAAACAATTAAGTTTAAATAAAATTCAGTATAGGAAAAAAAATTGTGCTCAATATACATTGATTTTCACTTTCTTCCTCTTTCAAGTTCCTGTATTTTTAATTCTCTTTAGATATTTTAATTACAGAAATGAAATCTTGACAGGTGAGAGGGCTTTAGTGCAGTGGATTCTGAAAAACTATTGTTGCCTAATAACAGAAGACCTGAGAAAAATGCAGAAGTACTATTACTGCTGTGAAGTTGTCAATAATGAATTCTCAAATTCTTAAAAAATACAATACCTTTTAACAAAGGCTAACGCATGTAATTCAGCAGTTATACTAATATTTGTAGTGGTATCATTTTACATCAGCAGCTTTATACTTAATTTGAAAATTCACACGAGAGTGTAATCAGTATCAAATTGAAAGCCCTGAAGAGATTGTAGTTTTTAATGTGTGTTAGCCTGTTCACATATATTTGTCCTTTACAGCTATCTAAAACTGATCTTTTCCATAAATTTCAGGGCAGATTTTGAGCAAAGTTGGAGCTGGTGATAGCTGCACCATTCTTCAACAAAATTAGCTGTTGGTGTCTTTCTGTATACTTTAGACCTTATTGTTCTTTGCTTATTTTCAGAAAGATTTAATGTTATTTTCAGTGTTGATTATGTAATTCTAGACCTCTAACTTATGTATTTCCTCATTTACTGCATTTCAAAGATAAGGCAGTTGTTTGCATACCTACCAATGTCTTAGAAATTGAATTTTCATCTTATCCTATCTTTATAATTTCTATTTCTTTTCTCAGTAATTATAGTGTATATTGTAGCAACCACAAGCTGCAAATAAATATTAAGGAAGAAAATGGCTAGGATTTCCGATATATCACTTCTCAGATCCCTCCCAGCCTCCTAATTTCTTCTCCCTGGTTTACAGTCCAGTACATTTAGTTCTAATCAAGCATGGATACAGTCTTGTAAGTCTTAAATATAGAAAGTTTGCAAAGAGAGTTCAATGTGTACGTGTTTACTTTAACATTACTAGGTTTTATTTATATTGTATCATATTTATTTTTAGATATTGAGGTTTCCCCAATTTCCTAAATGTTATAAAAAGTATGTCCTCCCTGTCTTTTTCGTTCCCTTTTAGAAAGTGCTCTTTTCTTGGGATAAATTTCCACAATGGGATCAGCACTCTTTCTTTTTTATATGTTACAGTGCTGGAATTCCATGCTTCAGTCTTGGCATAAAGGAGCCCTGGTCACGCAGCGATTAAAGCTCTTGACTTCTAATCAGAAGGTCAGCAGTTTCCATCAGCTGCTCCCTGGGGGAGATGAGGCATTTGCCTCCATAATTATTTACAGCCTTGAAACCCTATGGAGCAGTACTCTACCTTGTGGGCTTGCTGTGAGCTGGAATTGACGCTGTAGCTGTGGGTTTGGTGTTTTAGTGTTACTGTTGGCATGGCAAGTAGGTAGAGGAAAGGACTGAATCCAGGGGCACTTAAAGTTGTCTTGATGGGGATGTTGGCCTGACTAGTAGAGAGGAAAGTTTTCAATATGCTCCATTATTTTCTATTTTAAACCCCTGTGAAGATAAAGATAAGAATTTGGTGTCACCTCTCTCCTGGGAAAGACTGCTTTTGTTCCCAAGGAGTTCACTAGGTAGCACAGAACAAGTGTCTGTTTTGCGGATTGCTGACCCTGTTAGAAAGCTTTGCTGTTCTTGAGATAAAATCACTGTGGATACTATATACCTGGATTATATCTTGTTCAGGCTAAAATTTTCAAATATTGTAGTGATTTTCGATTATGGTTGGACAGTAGGTGAACATTCTAAATAGGGCATGGAATAGGTATGGAAAGCTTTCTGCTATTTTATAATTAGTGAAGCTGTTAATTTTGGATTTCTGGCCATAAAAGTAAAAAATCAACATGCTTGATGTTGAAAGAGATCTCTTGGGTCTGGTGGCTTAGTAGTAAGGAGCTACACCACCAACCCAAAGGCACAGGGTTCAAATCCATTAGCCACTCTGCGAGACACAGATAGGCAATCTTGTGTGCAGTTTATTGCCTCTGAAAACCTGCTGGACGGTCAGCTATTTTTTTTTTTTTGGTTCAAGCTCAATAGTATCTAACAACGTCATGCTAAGAAAGGAGCTATGGTATCGCAGTGGTTAAAGTACTCATCTGCTAATGGAAACTTTGACTCTTTGACACCACTAATCCCCCACAAGAAAAGAGCAGTAGAGAAAAAAGTGCAGTGATGAATGAATGGAAATCCAAAATCTCTGTTAATATTCATTAAAATTAATTAAAAAAAAAAAAGAGCTAAAGCCTGCTTCTGTAAAATAATAGATAGCCTTGGAAACCCTGTTGGGCCGTTTCACTCTGTTTCCTAAGGTTCCTTTGAGTTGGAATTAACTCAGTAGAATGAGTTTAGGTCAAAAAAGTTTTTGACCAATGAGCAGACTAATGCCCTGATCAAGAAAGTTACTTGAAAATTATCCTTACTTGCATGGTTTTTAAAATGGAATTTTTAATTAGGGTGAAGAATATTAGGCTTCATCTACTAAGAAATACTGTGTGTAAGTCTCTAAGACTGAGTGACCTTAAGACTTCATTATTTTAGTGCTCACTTCGGCAGCACGTAACACTAAAATTGGAACTGTATAGGATGACATACAAATTTGTGAAGCATTTCATATTTTGTGCTGTTGTGTTGGTGTTGTTAAGTGCCATCAAGTTGTAGGCAACTCATAGCGACCCTATGAATGAAAGACCTGGACACTTGTATAACTTTCATCCTTTCTCCAGGTTGAAGGGTTTCCGGAGGCAAGCTGTTTCGGAAGTGGATGTTGAAACATTGCTCACAACAGATATATTGATGAGAGCAGTATATAAAATTTTTAAAAATGGAGACGTGTAAATGAATAAATCTTTAAAAAATACTTTATTGCTTTAGCTTAAGGAAATTGATTTTGGATGTGAAACATCAGAAAAATCTTAGTTTCTAATACAATGAAATTCTGTAACCAGGACCCACAAGGACATTGCCATAATGTGATTGTGGTCAATAGTGTTTGTTTTCCATGATTTATAATATACAGTGTTTATATTGTTTATCAAGTGATTGACCTTTTAAAAAAATACTGTAAACTTTTCTTTTTACTATTGTAGGTAAGTAAAATGTTACTGATTTGGGAGGCAGATACACAAATTGGGCTGAAATACTGCTCTAATTGTCACCAGACCTCCCTACAATAAACTGCCTTTTGATGACTGGGACGAATTGAGTCAAATCGTAACGGACAGATACGGGGCAGACAGTTTCTTTAGAATATTCAGATATAGCAAATGAATAGAATTTTCTTTCATATTTACACATTGAATTTGTTTATCTGTTTTTCTTTAGCCCTGCTTCCTTTCTGTTGCAACCGGCTTCATTATTAGATAAAAACAGTGTTACTCTTCCTGAAAAGGTAAATTTTTAAAGCAGATTTTCAGTTCATTTTTACCACTTAAGTTATGCTAGTTTAATTAAATTTAATTTCTTATTTCACATTTCCTAGTATTTACACATTACATCTTGTTTCTGTTTATATGTTCTCCATTGTTTTTAAGTGGGAATATTGGGCTCTAATTGTGTTTATTTATGCTAATGAACACATAATTTAAAAAATAAAAGTAACTCATCTTTATATATTCATGATAACCCACCCATTTATAATCTAGAAGTTGAGGGGTCAGTAATGATTATTAATGTCTTTAACATTATATATCTGGTTTTCTTAGGACTTGAAGATGAGAACTCCCAGAGAGAAAAAGAAAATCATTACTAAGAAAACATCACAATGTGAAGTGAAAGACTCTCCGTCAGATACTGCAAACAACACAGAGAACAGTACAGTTGAGCGGTCTCTGCCAGCCAGAAAATGTGACCCATTTCAAAAGGAGCAAGATCATCTGGTGGAAGAGGTTAGGACAAAGATTGTAATAAACACCTGTTTTTTTCCTCAATGATGTTAGGATTATAAGTGAAGTACAGATAATTTTTTGTTAACAGGGATAATTTAAGAGAACTGTGGTCACAGATGATTAAACAAATCAAGGTTAAAACAAAAACTATTTTTCCTTAGAAGTAAATCTAGATTTAATATAGCCTTTTCTAGTTAACATTCAGATCTTGATTTAGAACCCACTTTCCACTTTAGTAACCTAGTGGGTAAGAATTTGTGCTGCTAACCCAAAGGCAAACAGTTCAAATCCACCCGCTGCTCAGAAAAGGAAGATGGGCAGTTTCATTCCGTGCAGTTTACGGCCTCTGAAAACCTGCTAGAGAGCTATGAGTGGCTTCTGACTCTACAGCGATGAATAACAACAAAAGCATGAAAATAATGCATGTGTGATATATTTATAATGAAAGCATATAGATATTTTGATAAAGACCTTTCCACAGCATTGCAGAGCTTGATAATGTTGGCTTGTTTTTTTCTCTTTTCTGTTTTAGGTTGCCAGGGCAGTTTTATCTGAGTCACCAAAGCTCCCCGAAGGAAAAGAAGTACAATTAGAAGTGTTAATTGACTCCTTGGTTTCTAATCCATTTTTAGCAAGGAACCAACTTCCCCGAACTCCAGAAAACTTGAGTAAGTTAGTTATGCTTTCTCTCCCTTGTTTTCTGTCTTTGAGATTAACACTGTAGTACTGAGGTCTGATGAATCTTCTGATGAAGTTTCACAGTCCAGTTCTCACTGACTCTTCATTTGTTCTGACAGAAAGGAATTTCATTGATCTATTGAGTGTGGACATGCTCATTTTGAAAACAAGCCTCATAGCATGGACCCTAAAAGAATTATTGTATTACTTTGATATACTTAATCGACCAAGATGTTAAAGAAGCGCTAATACTACTAGAATTTTGGGTTTATTCCTTTGTTTGGATTTTATTTCTGGAAAAAATTTTATTTGATCACCTAAAAAAAAGTCTTATTTCTATATAATATGCTGTCTTTCAGTTAGAAATCAACATCTTTAGCTTAAAAAAGCAAGTGTTTGTAGATCTTTTCCATCCCTATTAAACTAGCCAGGGAGCAGATATTTTTGTCCTGTTATAAGACATAGTTTCCTCGGTTAGGCAGATCCTGGTAGTTTGATGCAATGTGATTTCCATTTTACCACTAGAAATGACTTGCAGAGTTAAATTGATTCAGCCTATTGCCCATGGACCAAATCAACTAACCTCACATGTTTTGTAAATAAAATTTTATTGGACTCTAACCTTGCCCCTTTGTTACATTTTGCTTTAAGTTATAACTTTCTTTCTATAGTGGCAAAGTTGAGTAGTTGTGACACAGTGAATAGTCTACACAATAATATACTTGGGCTCTTTACAGCAAAAGTTTGCCAAACCCTTATCTAAATGGACAAGAAAGTGTCTTTTTAATAAATGTGATTTGTATGTTCCGTGTGAAAGTATGTGCACGTTTCAGGAACAACTTTCCTTATATGTGTTCCTTCTGTGTGTGATAAATTAGAAGCTTTTTATAGTGTTGAGTTTGTTAAGTTGTGGAATATTGTATTCTTATTCAACACATTTACTGGGCCTGTACTGAGTTAGTGACTTTATCTTCAGAATTAGAAGGGAAATGTTTAATTGCTTGCTTTATGTTTATGAGTATTGGTCATTTGTGTGCCTTTTTCCTTCCTTTATTTATTTAGTAAGTGAAATTAGAAGCTCATGGAAAAAAGCTATTGAAACAGAAGATGACGGAAGTACAGACCTAATCCAAACGCATTCTGAAAACAGAAGAGTGTTGCCAGAATCCTTAAATGATGAAACAGAATTTGTCATGGCCAGTTTTCTCTCAGAAACCACTGTGTCAGATTTTAGCGAGTCTCATTTGCCTGAAGAAGAAGTTTCAGATGGCCTCAAGTGCGTCTCTCCAAAGCACATGATGACCAGTCACATAGGTGACACACCAACACAGAATCAGTCCAATGTGTTAAATACGAGAGTACAGTGCAGGCAAGATTTGGACTGTGGACTTTTAAAACACAGTGAGCTTTCCAAAACTAGTGGAATAGAGACCTTCTCTCCTGCTGTGCACGATCGGATAGATGTGGTGGATGGCAGTAAAGAGGAGAATGTTGAGAAAGCAGACCGTTCGCAAGCCTCCAGTAAAGGACCTTCCATGCCAAAAACTCCATTATGGAACTGTTTTCCTGTATCAAGTGGAATTAGTTCTGTGAGTTTTGAGGACACTGATTTTGGCATATTGCATGAAACTCTTCCAGAAGAAGTTGGTCGCCCAAGTCTTAATAGCTCTAATAATACAGAGGTCAGTTTTGAACTGGATCCAAATAGTCCTGTGATGCACAGTGACATTTTTCCAGATGGTACTGTGGGAGGAATACAGACTACTCCAAAACCAGACTTCCGTTTCCAGGCTATTTGTAGAAGATATGAGGCTCTTAAAATGTCTCTTTCCAAGAAAAAGGCAGAATCTTGCATTTCTTGTCCTGAGACATTTGAAAGACACATAGGAGAATTGAGTTTTACTCCGAATAAACTGCAAACACATGAGATATTTAATGATTTGGACATTCATGACTTGCACAGTGACTGGACCACGCCATCTTTGCAAAAATCTCACGGTGGACAGAAACGGTCTCTTTCACCACTAATTAAGTTTTCTCCAGAGGAGCACAGATTGAGAACTACAGTGCCACATGATCTTAGAGAATGTTTACCTAATTTGAAAGGTAAGATTTCATCATCCTGGCCCTTTTCCCATACCCTGTTGATTCTCTCCCAACTTTGTCCACAGTGAGGACTGTGGTGAGTTAGTAGATATGAAACAGCATGCTCCTTACTCTTCCAGGTAGGACCCTGTCACTGGATTAGTTTCTGTGAGTCCGACATGACTAGCTGGCTGCGGGTTTGGTTTTTATTCCTCAGAGGTGTGTGTGTAGTTTACAGTTGGGTTAGGGAGAGAGAGATGGAAAACAAAGCAGAAAACACTTTGCCAGAATCTCCTTGGCTGGTAGAATATGGTTTGAAAAAGGTTGAGAAGCAGTATTTTAGGTATCATCCTTGTAATGATGTATATATTTGCTTATAATGAGTGATTTGCTTGAAAATAATTGATGGAGAGTAGAAATAAAACCAAATTGGTCTGTAGCCATAATTATTGAAGTGGAAGGAATGGTCCATTGAGATAATCATACTGTGTTCTTCACTTTTGTGTATGTTTGGAATGTTTAATTAAGAATTTATAAAAATTCTTATGCAAATTTAAGATACATGTATGTGGTGATATAGATTCATTGTATTTACTCTTATTGGCCCATGATAAACACTGGTTTATTGAAAAGTGTTCTGAAGAGGTGTGTATTGATCTCTGGAGAAAAAGCACTTCAGTGAGAATAATGGTTATTTGTAATGAATATTTTAATAAGTGCGAAGGAAATTCGCATCTTTTTTGGCTCACTCACTCACTGCTGTCAAGTTAGAGCTGACTCGTTATTAGATTTCCAAGGCTCTAAGTTGTAAGGGAGAAGATAGCCCATCTTTCTCCCATGCAGCCACTCCTTGGAGCCACTGGTGGATTCGAACTACCAGTGAGGGCCTCAGCTCCAAGTGTCAGGGCAGAACAGCTCCCGATGGACTATGCCACCAGAAATCTCTTTTTTTCCTCTCTGAGTAGAAATTCACTACTACTTAGTATCTGTTATAATTGCTTTACTTTGTAATGTTTACATATGGCTCTTTCTGAAAATCAATTTTGCAGAAGAAGAAACCCGGAGTAGGAGTCTTGATGCAGAAGAATCTCCATTCAACTTGAAAAGTTAAAGCCGAGAACAGTTAATTTAACTGTGATGCACTTAAACCGAAGTCATGTCAAGAAAAGAAAACAGAATTGTAATTTTAATCCACACTGGAAATGTAAAACTTTCGTTTTAAAAACCTAAAAGTTCTTAAATGCCTTAGGCATATTCTTTCCTAAGTAGTTAATACAGTGGCTGTTGAATGTACTGGTCTTTCCTTTTAGAGAAATAGATAACTTTTGTTTTCTTTGTGAAACATTCTGGTACTAACAACAACAGCAAAAGAAAAATGTGAGAAAAGTATAGTGCCTTGTGAGTATAGCCAAGATTGTAAAAGTTTAAGATTGGGAATTTAGTAGGCTTAAGGATTGGTCCTGAGAAGTGATGTTGACAGATAGAGTGCATGGGGTAGTAAGTAGAGATTGACCCAGAGTAAGTTTAGCAAAAGAAAAAGATGGAAAATGGTGACACTTTTTCCTTAATTGTTTCTTTATACACTATGTTTGACAAGTTACTATTATCTTTATTTCTAGACTTTATGGTCACCCCGTAAAATTCATTGGATAGATAAAAATAAAAATTTTATTTATGCATAATTATAGAGCTGTCATACCAAGTCTAGGCACAGCATTTTCCTCAGCCCCACATGCTCCATTCCTTTACCATTTACTGGAGCAAAACACTGTAAGCATCAGATTTAGCAGCATTTCAAAATATGTTTTTGTTGTCTTGATTAAAAAAGCTAAAATATTCTTTCAGTTCATTAATTTCATAGGATCTTATTACTTCTGTACATGAGACACGATCTTTCAATATTTGTATGGGTGATGTTTCCCATGTTTTTTCTTTATTTTGAAGTTTCTCAGGAAACCTTAAAGGGTTTTATTTTTTCACAAAAGAAAAGAGCAGTGTCAGCCTATGTGAGTGAGACCAGCAGTTAAAACATCCTGCATAACTTGGTACATGAAGCAATCTACATATTCTCCTAGTTCTCACCCCTTAGAAAAAGGAATCTGAGAGGGACAAAAGCTACAACCATCAATATTATTTAATAGCTGAAGAAAGAAGAAAACAGATGTCTAAATAATAGAATTCAGTTAAACAGTTGTAAAAACCAGATGCTAAAAAGAAGCGTGGATGTGGAATGATTGCCATTCCTACCAGGAATTAAAAAAAATAAATAAATAAAAGTGTGAGCAGTCACTCAAGACCAGATAAATAACCACTTAAGGATATTCAGTTTTGATCAGTTTTTTCCGGGAGGGCACCTAGAGAACTTGAAGCTACAGCCCTTGGTGTTCTCAGGATCTGCTGGTGCTGTAGTTCATTATTAGCCTTTGAGGGGATGGAGAGAGGCAAAGACCAGGACCGTCACATGTGAAAAGGCTTCTAGAGCAGTAACATGGCTGTCAAAATCACAGGAGCTTAGACCAGACACCGTTTGAAATTGACCTGTGCTTGCCGTCACAGGAAGAGCTTGAGGTTTGCAGAGACATCTTAAACATGTAAAGATGCCCTGCCTTTTGAAAAGCAGAGCGTCTCTATAAACTCATTAGATTTCACGTCAGTTTATTTAAACTAGAAAAGATGCTGCAAGCTGTATCAGCTATCTTCTTCTTTGGACATGTCTCCACTTCACATACACTTGAATGAAGGATAATATTGTCCTGGTTCTTTGTTGGCAGCCTCAGTATGCTTTTTGGATTCAATAGGTGTGATCTTGTTTGAGAAAAGTATGTAAACATGGGCCAGACTTGGTTAGTCTCAAAGTCTCGGACCATAAAATTGACTGAGCACGCCTCAGTGCTTGTATAAATCAGTGCCTGGCATTGTCAGTTCCCTGTATTACTTTAGCCTGGCAGCAGCTGCTTTATC